CGGAGGCAATAAGCCATATACATCCCGAGGGCCGCAGGCCCGAGGGATGTATAGGCTTATTGCCTCCGTTCGAGGTAATTAAGTATTTTATTTATCAATTGAGAAGGTTTTCTATCAAATGTTGCTCATTATAAATGCGAACGGTCTATATATAGTTATTAACCGGGTTAATAACTATATATTGACCTCGCATTTATAATGAGGGTTATAACAAAAATGAAGCCTTGTGAATAACAAAGAAAACCGTGTCAATTGATAAATAATTCACAGATTGAACCCTGGAACAACCTCTGGGCTGATCTAAGTCAGGGCACGGCTAACTCACAGATTGAACCCTGAAACAACCTCCGGGCTGATCTAAGTCAGGGCATGGCTAACTCACAGACTGAACCCTGTGCCTGGGCTGATCTATAAGCCAAGGTCACGTACGCCTAATTCACTGATCCTGCTGATTCCAGGGAAAGTCTGTCACAACAATAAACTATTCTTTCCAAAGATGAAAAAACTTACAGTGACGTTTCGGACGCTAGTCCTTCGTCGGAGTAAAAGACTGGGCATCTTTTCACGGTGTCTAATTTACCCTTTTATCATTACTGTTTCTTTAGAAACACCGACGCAGCTCACACTAGTTTTTAGCTAGTTATCTATTCTTTCCAAAAGTAATTATCAGTTTGGGGAGGGACTCTATTGATTGAAACTAAAGCGTTCATTGGTTGGTTGTAGCTGAGTTAATAATTGATTTTTAATTGAATATTTTCTAAAGAATGAACTACAAAGCATTATTATAGTTTTTGTCGGTTTTCAAATCTCTCTCGTCACCTCAGATATAATTTACATTTGAAAGCTGAATAAATGTAGAAACTATTCCTTTTTTCCTTTTTGTAAAATATATTTATCCTTTTAAGTTAGAGCGAATTATTCAAATTTTCACCGTGGCATCTTCGCGGAGTTCGATGACAGTTAAAAAAAATTGGAAAATTTGGACAACTACGACGAAAATCGCTCAAACTTGGATTCAGCTGAAACTTCCTAAAAATACTCTTTAAAGATCCAATAATCACTGTATGAAGTGTTTTCTCGATGTTCAGGACGAAAGTATGATATTTTTACGATTACTTTTTGGAGTCTGTGACGTCATACACTCAACATCAAACATTGCTACATATATTTCTTTGTATATAAATCCTTAATTTATTTTATTCCTATGAAGCCCAAAGGGTGGCTAATGTGCTTATTTCACATTACTTGTGACTATAATTTATATTTTGGGGTGTTTGGGTATTTCTAGCTTTCTCCCTTTACTACTGATATTTTGATCATAAACTACAAAGAAATGTATGGAGCGATGTTCGATGTTGAGTGTATGACGTCACAGACTCCAAAAAAAAAAATCGTAAAAATATCATACTTTCGTCCTGAATATCGAGAAAACACTTCATACAGTGATTATTGGACCTTTAAAGAGTATTCTTAGGAAGTTTCAGCTGAATCCAAGTTTGAGCGATTTTCGTCGTAGTAGGACTTTAAGACTTACTTAAGCTTGGCTTTCATATAACTTTTTTTTTTTTTTGTTATTCCACTCGGTTGGCTCAGTCGGTCGTTCGAGATCGTGAAGAAGTAGAAGATGCTGCTTTTTTTCTAAAAGCATTTGCAAATAATAAAAGTCCTTTGAGCCGTATAGACTACCCCGCAAATGATATGCAGTCGTCGGAACTCTTYGTAGAACAACGTATACAACAATAGAATTCATGGTCAATAAGTATGTGTATGTGATTTGCTGCGGGGTATTATTCTATAAGTATACCATGTCCTTTGCTGTATCAACAAAATGGGTACCGGATCTATGTTTTTTTCCAAATGATATTGCAGTAGTATAAATAATTTTTAAAGCCTAAAACTCACATTTATATTTAGGTATAGAAGGGGATCCATGATCTTTGCGATACCGGTGCAAACGCTTTTGCCACCTGAGCTATCTAAGACACAGGAATAAACCTGAACTTCAGCCAAGGGGATAAGCTTGAGCTAGCTATCTAAGCCAGATAGAGAGGTGAATTCTTTCTAAGTCTACATAATTTTGCAGGCTTAATGAAGTAGTTATATTGATGGTTTTCAACCATTCCCAAGAAAATTAARTAACAAAAGACACGGCGGCCATGTTGGAGGATATAACAAAAGATTTCATTGACAATTCTATTGTTAAGTTCCTCCAACATGGACGCCGTGAAAACCATCAATAGTACTATCCAGGCCACATTTGGTGTCCTTCTTTACTTCTACTCAACTGCCGAAGGAAAGCTTTTCAATATTTAACTGTAAATACTATTCTTTATACAGGATTACAGACAAAATGAACACTGYCAACACCACAGGCTACCCGTTTTCAACAACAACAGCAACAGCAAATATCACAGGATTCCCACTACCACAGCGCCCGATTCCCCAGATCGACGGTTTCACCGTATTTTCTTGTATTGTGTACGCCTTTATCGCAGCTCTGTCAGTCTTTGGCAACCTTTTGGTTATAATCTCATTCTTCATTAACGACAAGCTACGAACTGTTACGAACTATTTCGTCGTTGGTCTTGCTGGGGCAGATATGTTGGTTGGCGCTATATCAGTACCTCTTTGGATCAATACCATCGTCAGTATTATTTCAAGGCCTTCYCCTTCTGCCCAAGCCCTTTTCAAGTTCTTTGACACCTTTTCAGGTGTCTGTTCCATTCTTCATCTAATGGTCATTAGTATGGAGAGGTATTTCTGTGTCGGCTGGGCCATCAAGCATCGTAACACCCCTAAATACGTCTATTACATTGTACTGGCGGCAGTCTGGGTCACGTCCGCGTTGGTTGGATCAATACGTCTAATTGCACCTAAGTTCCCCCAGACTGATTTCGTTCTTTTAATATTCGTCGTATTTTTCTTGTTTCCTTTAGTAGTGATTGTTGTTAGTTATGCGGCGATCTGGAAAATCGCCACGACAAGAATGGGCAACAATCCAACCAAGAGGTCCTTGAAGAGAGAGATACGAACAGCAAGTACGATCGCATTTGTGATTGGCTTCTTCTTTGTCACGTGGTCTCCGTTTTTCATCGCACAAACTGTGATATTGTATTGCGGATTGTCGTGTTATCCGTCTGCTGAAGTCATCAAGATCCTCAAGATCTTGCAYTAYAGCAACTCCGCTATCAACCCGGTTGTTTACGGTGTGAGAATYCCTGAGTTTAGAAAAACCTTCAAGTTTATTCTAAAGCGGTTTTATGGACCAATACTTTCACTTGCAAGGCGATAGAMTGATAGTCAGCTATTTAAGTGAACGCTTGACAATGAGTCATAGCCTCAARTGTGGTCAGCTTAACAATATTTTACACTGAGTACGTTTGAGATTTTTTTTCCATTTGGACCGCTGGCAAACTTGACCGAAAGCACCGATGGCTCAAGCTCCGGATTTCATGACTAAAGCCGTACTCCCGAAGTAAAATAATCTTGATAGTAAACTACAAGCCCTATGTATCGATAAGCGAACCTTAACATCTCTGTATATGGCCCTGGTATGGTTTAAAATCATCGGTATTTTTGTACAGACTTTTGTTTCTGTGTGAAATGCAAGAAGCAAGCAATCTGGGAATATTACAACTATTTCAGAAATCGTTGTCGCACCAAAAGCCTCAAGCAACAAGCCAAGACCGCAGAGAACGCCGGTACTTTTAGTAGTGTTATTAGTTTATTTATGGTGCATTTTCATTTATTGACTTCACAAATTGCTCCAAGCAAGGCTGCTTGAGATGATAATTAGTGGAAAGCTATATAGCCACTTGCATGAACCATGAATAAATCAAATATGATTAAAAGCACCGACGTTCTCTGGAGCCTTGGCTTGTTACTTGAGGCTCTTGGTGCGACAACGATTTTCGAAATAGGTGTGTATACCTTGTTATCTTGGGCGTAATGATTCCCAATTTCAAAGCCCGTGTCATTCCCTAGAGTATCATTTCTTTATTTAACGGTTGCGCATGAGACGACACATGCGTAAGGATACAACTCAAACAAAGAATCTTATTCTCAAGATAATGACACGTGGTCTGAACTTATGGCAAAACATTACGCCCAAAGTTAAGAGATCTATTCAATTAAGACTGTACACCGCTGTCAATATAAATCGCATGCGTAGATCGTTACTCAACATTAAATAACATTTACTCACAAAGCCACAAGGATGATAGGAAAAGTATACGACTTCATACTCGATATCTATTACTGCTGCTGCTGTTTAAGTTCAAATGGAACGATGTATTAAAGGAACAGACTGCTGAACACCTTTAAATATGGCAGCCATGATTACTTCGAAAGAGCTACTCTTTAGAAAGTTTTTTTTTCGTCGTTGTAAAAAGACAAAAATAACCAAGAAACGATATTCAAAGAGCTTCTTCAGTTTTAAAAACTCAAAACACGTCCCTGGAAAACCCAGATGTATACGTAGTTAGTTGAGTACCCCTACAGAATATTTGAGTGATTTGGACTGATCTAAATCTATGCTGGTGTGAATAAACCACGCTGAACACAATACAGTTAGCATTATCCCAAGTAGAATTCAGTTACGATATCGGTTGCGGTATCTAATGTTTCAAAATTGACATGGATGATTACGCAATTGTAACTTAATCAYTTTATAAGCGAGAATGTGTAACGAGCTTTTTCTGGGTTGGGATGTTATTTTTCTAAATTATGGAGAGAGTTTAGCCATTACTTGTACTATTATGTTATTAACTGTAAATAAATGAATACATATTATATTAAAGTGTTTGGAAATTTGAATTAAATCCTTTTAGCTTAGGTTTATTTGGATCAAGTGGAAAGAGTCTAGGTCGTAAACTGGAATTCTCAAATCTCAATTAACGTTGTTAACTTTATAGCACTGAGGGTTTAACGAGCCTGCGAAGCGCTCCTAAAAAAATCGTGGGGTTAGATTGTAGTCCCCCTCGACACGAGTGAATTCATGCTATTGTAAAATGCCAAAATTTAGTGTCCATGTTAAGCCATGTTGATTAGACTAACATAACGTAGAAATATTGCTCTTTACAATTTCTTATCATGATAAAAATGTTGATAAAACATTACCTTGATCATGCTGTACGATATTTCTGAATTGAGCCCTTTTCTTCAGCTTTGCTATCTCATTTCTTTATCTCTTTTCTTCAGCTTTGCTATCTTATTTCTTTCTCATTTGCTATCTCATTTCTTTGATGGTTTGAATATATTTTACTACAGCAGTATTCTCGTTAATTTGGCCATAAGTTGTTTGCTTGTCTTATGGGAGTGGGGTGGGGCTGTGTGTATTTTAATCTAAATTTATCAGGCCGTCTAAAAAATCATTTAAAAAGATCGAAAATTCAAGCAATCTTGGCTGGGCTTTGCTTTAGATTTGAACATTTCTAAGTGATATTTAATTAAACCAGTAAATGCTAGAGTTTCATCGCGTTATTTGTTACTCAATCCATTAAAACTGACGACACACCAAGTAAAACAAGATGAACACCGAGCATCAAGRCAAATATCACTTGACTCATAAAACAACAGTTATTGAAAGACCTGTGTCATACTTGTTTGCTTGATGTATTCAATGAATAGACTATGAAAGAAAAGACGTTTGTACAGAGGGTAGAGTTCAAATCAGCTGAAACACTGATCATCACAATGTGTACAAACAAATGCGCGCGATTGTAAGTCACTGTAAAAAAAGCAATCAGTGAAGTTTTCTGGGTCAGTCTTGCAACGAGTCCTGCCTGAAGAGATACTACCGGTTTTATTGGGATCGTATCTTGTGTGCAGAAATGGCGAGAATTCTARTGATTGTAGCGCTGATGGTTGCTTGTGYGATGGCCAAACCRGCCGCTAAAGAGCAAGGTRCGATGTTAGACTGTTGTTTTATGACAACGCATTCTTTTAATCTATTACGTTGAGCAAAACTTGTGTGGAATTCAACATAAGAGGAATGGATGACTGAACGAACGAACGAACGAACAAACAAACAAACGAACGAACGAACGAACGAACGAACGATTGAACGAACGAACGAACGAACGAACCAGAATGAATGAAAGTGAATGAATGCATGGTTGATCACGAAAGAGAGAGAGAGAGAGAGAGAGAGGAAAGTAGGAAGGTAGAAAAGAGGGAAAGGAGTTGCAAAGCGAATAATCAAGCTAGTAATGAATTCAAGAATTCAAAAGAGAAGATTCGCTACGAAAAATAAGAAATTTCTTATCATTTCAGTCGGACAGAAAACATCCAGTCATATATTTGTCCTTTTCTCTAAATAACTCTCCTATTAAATTGCTGTAGCTCAACCTGGTTACGAGTTATTCGAAGGTGACATGATGTTCACTAAAGATGAAATCAAGGCCGCTGAGGAAGGAAGGGACCCTAGTCAAGACGGTGGAGCACGTTCTCTGATCAAGAACAGACGCTGGCCTAATGGAGTAGTACCATATGTACTGGATAAAAGTGTCAGTAAGTATAGTTATCACCACATAACGCCCTTACTATCATTTACTATCATCACTATATGTACTATATTGACCACCATCACCTTTAATAAYAACATCTAATTAACTATCTATGTTCGAATTGTTTTTAGAAAATAAGTTTCTGAATGCTTTGGGGATTAAAGGACCAACAGAACGAGCCATATACAGTGCTATTAAAGAATGGGAACAAAAAACTTGCATACGATTTGTACCTAGGACCAACCAGAAGAATTATATTGAATTTTTTTCCGGTGAAGGGTAAGAGACATGCGTGGTATCTTAGCAACAATACACATGACAACAGTAACCATGGTAAAAATCCTTAGCAATGACATTCATGTTCCCCATACTGTTGCACCACTGCCAATTGCCATTAGTAATGCGCAATGACATCAACCATCCTAAAATGCAAATGAGCTATAGTATCAATGGCAACAGTATCCATGGTAACTGTTACCATGACGGTCAGTGTTTTACCATTTTTAAGTTAATGTTTTAAAATTCTCTAATTCATAAATTTTTTTTGTAATGTAAAATGATGTTATTTTTCCTTGACGAATGCAGCCCTTTCACACACAAAACTATATCGGCTCCGAGACTAATCTGTGCATTTTGTTTCAGCTGTTGGTCTTATGTCGGATGTTTAGGACATGGAAAGCAAAMGATATCGCTTGGTAGCTTCTGTTTTACTCATGGAATAGCTGTMCATGAGATAGGACACGCATTAGGTACAGTATGACACAGGTGTATATTTTCAAGAGTCACCAAGGAATGGTTTATTCACCGGCCAATCTTTTCTTTTCCAACAGGTTTTTATCATGAGCAAAGCCGACCCGATCGTGATAACTACGTTGAAATCGTTTGGGACAACATTAAAGAAAGTARGTCAACATTTTCTCTTCTTCAAACTCATCAGAAGTTGTGACAAGTTGATCAAATGTGCGCGACTGTGTACTAACTTAATGATTGGCCGAACTGTAATAATCCTGCAATCTGATTGGCTTAABGGATGTCATTTTTAGCGGTGACACTGTCACGAAATCGTTTGCGAATGATCATTCCTYTTCTCGAACTTTTTYCCCGCAGAAAACAAGCATAACTTTAAAAAGTACGGTCACGGAACAATTGACAGTCTAGGGGTACCATATGATTATGGATCCATTATGCACTACGGGAAAAGGGACTTTGCAAAATGGCCCTGGCAGACCACTATCAAGGTGAAGAAGTCCGGTGCTTCTATCGGTCAGCGGTCTCACCTCAGTCCTCTTGACGTCAAGCAGATGAACATGTTCTACAACTGCAATGCCAAATAAGGTTAACAGACTGGTTATTCGCTAAATTGACGTAAATACGGTCAAGGGTAGGGTAGGGAAATTCAACAGTAAAAACTGATCTATCATCTATCAAAAATCATACTTGCAATTATTTTCAATACTTCAAAAAACACAGCGTCGAGTTAGCATTGCAGTGCAACATGGAACTGTTTTCGTGGACATATTTCCAAGATGGCGCCTCTGCAATGCCAACTCGACCCAGTCTTTTCCTCAAATTCGTAATGTCTAATAGACCAAATTCAAAACTCTCACCGATGTGAGGCTTAAGTTGTGAACAAAGGAATCTGGCGTGATTCGTGACGTTTGAATCACGCCAGATTACTTTGAGTCACGCCAGATCCCTTTGTTCACAACTTAAGCCTCACATCGGTGCGAGTTTTGAATTTGGTCTATACTGACAATATGTTTATATTTTCATGCAAAAGATCTTAACTCAATTGTACTGGGATTATTTCATAAACATACGGTTACAGAGTACTTTCTATATTTTTTAGGTCAATCAAGAGTTAGACTCACGAAACGGCCTTTGAATTTCCCAGACACATATTACTTGGAAGCAATAAAATTAATGTTTTGTGCTGCATTTTAAGTCTTCATTTTTACTTTGTAAAAATTTACCAAATGTTTTAAGCGTTAATACCAGAGATCAGAATGAGTCATAACTTCGGTTGTTTTAATCCGAGTTTAGCATGTTTTCCTTTGGGGTCCATGTTACGTCATAGCTGCCATGTTGGTTGACTATACAAAGCATTCCTCATTAACTTTCTCTTGTTAGATCATCCAACATGGCGGCTATTTCATTGTTATTCGTCGCAGATCGAGTTACATACCCAGTCATTCGAACCCAAATGAATCCACAGGGAGCCCAAGTTTGTTTTGATGTACTACTGCGAACGGACAATCTCGTACCCAGTACCCACGTTTCTCTTGTTCAGCACCGAGAAACATCACTCGTCGCTGACAAAGAGGAACGTGCTCTCTAAGTACGAGATTTTGTGAATGGAAAATTATGGMATGTTTTCAAACTTTCTTGTGCCATTGTATTAGCTAAAAACGAGCGAAATCGAAACCGGTTTTCGTACTTTTTCGTTTTTGAACAAAAAGGTTCGATTGTGCTCAAACTTAATTACTGTTTGAGTACGGAAAGAAAAAAAATTGGATTCCTTGTGGTGAACAAATAAAAACCTTGGAGGGAAGGGTTTTTCAAGGTATGAATACATWAAAAAAACGTGGTTTTCGTTAGCTATTTATAGGAGACATTGAATAATTTTATAATCCTATGAGTGAATATTTAACATACCAAATAGAAAAATAACCAATATGACAATTTTTACATGTAAATCTGTTATAGCAAAGTACAAAAAGATTAATAATTATTTTAGTGATTTAGCACGTGCGCAAAATATTTACTTGTGTTTTTGATTCACCAGCGAAGACGAAGCTTGTGAAAGAATAACACAGGGTTCCCATGGCAAATATAGTCGCGTGATCTTAGCTCAATCACAGCGAAGCTTAGGATATCAAGTGAGATGACAGAGAAAAAACTTTTCGGTCAGACTGATTTATAAATTTAAAAGAGGTGCAAAAAGACAGAATATAGTTGGATTGGGTCGTCATTTTTCTTCACAAGTGCAGTGGCATATAAATGGTTTTCTGGCCAGTGCTGTAGGAATTCTTTCGGGACGATGACAATGGCACCATTACTCTCTTTAAAAGCCTCTGTGTCACAGTACTTCATTGGTCTTTGCTTCTAGTATCTGCACTAAAGCTGAAAGCCAGCTCGGAGAAACCCCTTACGTAGCTAAGCAACCAACTCCGATACGAGCTGAAGTCATCTAACCATCAGTAAATCTCAGCTTCTCTTAGCCACGTCTTGTTGTTGTTTTTTTTCCTACTGATGAACTTCAAGCAGGCAACTACATCTTCTGACCGCGCCTAGCGGCTAACGGAAGTTCCAAATTCTTAATAAAATCTATTTCAAAATTGCACAAAAAATTGGCGTTTTATATTTTAAGGGTTGGGAACCCTGTGGAAAGCTGAAATTGTAATAATCATTAGACAATATTAGTWGGAAATGATTGAATTGAGGGGAAGGTTTAGTGTGCTTCCCTCATAARACAGGTTTTACGCCGTCTTTGTATATCTTGAGCGCTTTCTCTTTGTAGGTGAATGCCACAGTTTTTGGCGCCGTCGTGCTTGTCCTGTGAGGATAAAATATAATATATTCTTAGAGTAAAGATGGGGTTTTAAGTAACTTTGAATGGAGAAATGGATAGTTGTGACCAGATTAAGGATGGATGGATGGGTGGGTGGATGGATGAATGGATGGATGGATGG